TGTTTATTTTTTTCTTCCCAAGTGAAAATTTAGATTTAAACACTGTGTCTATGAAAAATAGACCTCCTACCTTTTGCTATAGCTACATAGATGTCTGGTTAAAGCAGACTTAGTTGATGCACTTTACTTTTTAAAATGAAAATGCCACACTTAACCCCTGTGACTTTGTGACTTCCTTTTTCCCTATGACAATTGAGACCTCATTTCTCCATCTCTCGCTTTAAGATCAACCCAAGTGAAATCCTTTAAAGGAAGTATAGTAAATGACAGAAACTAAGAGGTTAAAATTAGAGAAATGAAACCTATTTCTTCTAAATGACAAGACATTTCTGAAACCTTATGAAGGACTTAAATTACCACAGGGTGATTTTTTCCAATGAATGCCACAGTGGTGGAACATTTTCCACAGTGGAGGTTATCATGGTGGGTTGTCTGAGCTATGCAGTTACTTTTCGTGCAGGACCAAATACTATTGTATGGTCCTCCGTGCAACTCAGGAGCCTCAGTAGGAGCAGGAGCAGCAGCTACGTCCTGTATTTCCTGTGTGTTCTCCACAGCAGCGTCTTGTTCCTAGCATCCTGTGGGTGGTTTTCTTGAGGGGTTATGGTACTGAACCAGGACCTTGTACATATGAGGCAAGTACACTACCACTGAGCTCCAGCTCCAGCCCTCCTCCTATAATCTTTTGATTATCTCCCAAATCTCATATGTACCCTCTGAATCTGAGACAGCGCTTTGGGCTTGGGGTGCGGTATGTCTTTCTTCATACTCCCAGTGGAGAATCATAGCTTTCATAAATTCTCTCTGACCAAGAAGCTGTGTAAATAAAAATATAATAAAGAATTTCATAGGTAAAAACTATTGTTTTCATGGTGTTGCACTCCTGTAATTCCAGCACTCGGGAGGCTGAGACAGAAGGATCGTTGCAAGTTCGAGACCAGCCTGGGCTACAAAGTGAGTTCAAGGCCAGCCTGAACTGCATAGCAAGACCCTGTCTCAAAAGACCAAAAAAAAAAAAAGCAAAAAAACCGAAACTATTATTTTAGATTCCTTTTTTCTATACATTCTCATTTCATGATGTTCATATTCAAATTCCAATGTTTTTATACTATGATAGCAGCCCATTTCAGGCCCTTTGTTTTGCTTTCAGTTCAGGCTGGAGTTACACTCACTGTGTAGTCCAGGCAGGGCTCAAACTCACAGCAATCCTCCTGCTGCAGCCTCTCAAGTACTGGGATAGGGCCACGTGCCACCACATCCTGCCTCCCGTTTCACTCTTAACAGCTGACTTCATTACTCAGTAAATCGCGTATATACGCATGAATGTATGTACACCTGCATGTGTGTGTACGTAATGTAATACTTGGGACTGGACACTCCAGCCCCTTTTAAGTTTTATTTACATTTTAAGGTTTTTTTGGGGGGGGGGGGCTTTTTCTGGTACCGGGAATCAAACACATGATTTTGGGCTTGCCAGGCAGGCGCTGTGCCACTGAGCTAAATCCTCAGCCTCTTATATTTTAATTTTTTTGAGACAGGGTCTCACTAAGTTGCTAAGTTTCTTAAGCTAGGCTCTAGTTGGCAGTCCTCTCACCTCAGCCTCCTCGAGTGCTGGAATTACAGGAACGAGCGTCCATGCCTGGCTTCAACCTGTCTTTTAAATCTAAATATGGATGTTGACAAAAATCTTATTGTTAACAATTTTTGTCTTTTAAAGAAATCACAGGTTTTATAACATTAGTACAAAAAATAAAAACTCCACAGAAAAATAAGTATTCAAACAATAAATAAGGTAGAATCATTATCTATTTACAATCAGTCAATCTGGGGGCTGGGGATTTAGCTCAGCAGCACAGTGCCTGCCTGGCAAGCACAAGGTCGTAAGTTTGATTCCTGGTAGTGGAAAAAAACCAAAACAAACAAAAAAAAACCCCAAACATACAATCAGTCAATCAATCAATCAATAAAACTTGGCAACTTAGTGAGACCCTGTTTCAAAATTAAAAATAAGGGTTGGAGATGTATGTTAGTGTGAAGGCAAAGTGTTCAACCCTCGGTCCTGCAAAGAAATAAGTGAGAGAAGGAAAAAGAGCAAGCTTCAAAGTGCAAGGTTTAAAATAAAGTACATAAGAGACCAGAATATACTTTCATTCTTTTCATTATGGCACATTTAAAAAAAATTCCTTATATTGATACACTTTGATATACATAGTGATGACATTCATCACAGGGAATTTGTACATAGTTATCTTGATTTCTCTTCTTTCTCATTCCGCTCCCCTCCCTTCAACCCTTTCCCCCTCCCCATTTACAAAAGCTTTGCTTCCATTTTTCCCTTCTATTCTTTCTTTCCTTTCCCTTCCCCCCTCCCCCTCCCCTCTTCCCCTCCCCTCTTCCCCTCCCCTTTGAACATTTTCTTCCTAATTCCCAACATCTCTCATCCATTTTGCCCTTACTTATCCTCTCGGTTTCTCACACAAAGAGAAACAATGCCGTATTTAAACATATCATGGCAAAATTTACATATAGTGAAAAGCAGAGATTTTAAATATACAAGTAATGTTTCGATAACTGTATGTATTCATGTATCCTGTGATCCTAGGAAAAAGTGTGTATAATTTTATTTATTTTGTGGTCCTGGGGACTGAATGCAGAGCTTCATGCATACTAGGCAAACACTCTGCCACTTGGTGCATCCCCAGCCCTCCCAATCAAGATAGTACCTTTCCTGGTACTCCATAAAGTCCCTTAATGCCGCCTTCCAATCAGTTCTCACCTCCACAAGCAACCGTTTGCTTATTGTTTTTTGAGACAGGGAGATAGGCTCTCACTATATAGTTTAGGCTGGTCTTAAACTCACTATGTAGCCCAAGCTGGCCTTGAACTCATGGCAATCCTCCAGCCTCAGCCTCCTGGTGCTAAAATTACAGGTGTGCACCACCCTGCCCAGCTAAGCAACCATTTTTCCACTCATTGATTATGATTGGAGACTAGCTTTACTTCTCTTGAACTTTATATAAATGAATAATACAACAAAAACCTTTTTCTTGCCTAGCTTGTTATTATTTAACATGGTATTTGTTGCCATTGCATGTATCTGTAGCTCGTTCTTTTCATAATTGCTGAGGAGAGCTTATACCACAATTTATTTTTCTATTCTCCTTCCAATGGATATTTGGATTGTTTTCAAGTTTGGCTTCTCCCCCTCCTCCTCTTCCTCTTTTTCTTTCTGGGGACTGAACCCAGGGCTTTCCCACTGAGCTACATCTGGCCCACTTTTAGTTTTTAAAAGAGGTTCTCCACAAGTCACTAAATTGTCTAGGCTAAACTGGAACTTGTTATCTTCCTGCCTCAGCCTCCCAGACTGCTGGGATTACAGATGTGTACCATAATGTTGAGCTTTGTACAGGTCTTTTGCCTGATATATGATTTTGGTATCTTAGAAATGGAACTGCTGGCCTATAGCATGGATACATTCTAAACTTTGCAAGGAAATGTTAATTTTCTGCAGTAGCCATTCTATTTTACATTCCCATCAACAAAATATAAACATTTCTTTTTTTCCCCTTCAATATGTAAATCGTATAGGTTTCTGTGTACTTTTCAGTAATATCTCTTTTCAGAGACATTAATAGAATATTTTTGGTAACATTAAAGCCCACATATATGGGGGACCAAATTCTAGATAATTTTTCCCACTTTCCAACATACACAATATAGTCAACATATGCAAATGCAAATATTTCATACAAAATATAGTCATCTCGCTTTATGCAATGATCTTTTTCCTGAAAAAGCTGATTTTTGTAGTTCACATCACTGAAATAACCTTCCTCTATTTCAGTACCCAAGTGCAGTGCTTTGCACACAGTTTAATCTGTTTTCTGCTTTTTGTTTTGTTTTAGTCAACACATAACTTGTTTTATGATGCAGTTCAAGTAATTTACCTGTTTTAGTAGGTTGGTGTTTTTTTGTTTGTTGTTTTTGGTTTTTGTACTGGGAATCAAACTCAGGGCCTTGCACTTGCCAGGCAGGCACTTGTACTTCTGACTTATATCCCCAGCCACTTACCTGTTTTAATTATATGCTAATTTCTGCATTTTTTTTTTTTTTGACTAGCATAAACCAGGTCGAATGTTAAGAAATTTGGTTAAAGTGTATTTCCTTTCCCACTTTACTAATTCCTAGTAAACTAGGCACTTCTGTGTGGCACCATATAAAACAAAAGCACAGCATAAGGAGGTTAGGGATTCGATCTGAGCTCTCAGTTCTCCGGGCTCCACAAGTTACTGAACCCATTAGCCTATCCCCAGAGGCTGGTGTTCTTACGTAGGAGCCCAGCTTAGAGACAGTCTTTTCTGCTCCCTTTCCTTGACGAAGACCTGTGAGGCCCTTGGTATTGTAGATTAGCTTTACTTCTCTTGAACTTTATATAAATGAATGATACAACAAAAACCTTTTTCTTGCCTAGCTTGTATTGTTCAACATGATACTTGTTGCCGTTGCATGTATCTGTAGCTCATTCTTTTTGTAATTGCTGAGTAGAGCTTATACCACAATTTATTTTTCTATTCTCCTTCCAATGGACATTTGGATTGTTTTCAAATTTGGCTCCTCCCCCTCCTCCTCTTCCTCTTCTGAGGACTGAACCCAGGGCTTTCCCACTGAGCTACAGTGGGAAAGCCTGCCCTTTTAGTACTTGGCACTGTGGGGCATAATTTATTCATACACGTGCTTGCTTGTTCATAACTAAACTCTTGATCTTCTTAAAGCAGGGATCATTGACCTCAGCTTTCTTTGCTTTACATAGAGTAAATAAATGCTTAACATAGAGTAAATAAATGCTCAACAAATATTTGTGGAATAAATGCATAAATTAGGGGCGAGCATGTAAATGTGACTTTTTAAGTATCCCAATCCCTTAAAGAGATTTTTTTTTCCATATTCAAATTGCTGGAAATTTTTTGGATTTAGTTTAATTCTCTCAACTAATTTCCCAGAGGCTGGATGTGCGTTATGAAGCTTTGAAGTGCCAGGTCTCAGTGCTTGAAGTGACTCCAAGCACTTGCATCGTTGCTGAGAGTGATGTATACTTTGCTGTGCACAGCACTTGGTCTGTCAAACGTGAGGTTTGTTCATGTTATTCTCCCCTTCGGTAAGTACTGGGAACCTAAGAACATTTTTTTTTTTGGTATCGGGAATGAAACTCACGACCTCGCACTTGCTAAGCAGGTGTTGTGCCCCTGAGCTAAATCCCCAGCCCAGAACATCTTTTTGTATAGTGATTAACTGCATGATTCATGAAATCACTTTGGTCATGTTCCTTTTTTTCTTTTTCTCTTTTCTTCAGTACTGGGCCTTCACACTGAGCTACATCTCCAGCCTTTAATTTTTTTTTTTTTTTTTTGAAATAGATCTCAATAAATTGAGACGTTGCCAGGACCAAGCTAGATCTTTCGATCCTTTTACCTCTAGGCTTCCCAGAATGCTGGGACCACAGGGGTGCACACCATGCTCAGCTGATCACATTCTTATTGCAACCAGGCTATAACACCTACAAATCTGAAGGCTGCTGGGCATCTCTCACTCTGGGGAGGTCTTTTGTTCTCTTCGGGCCTCAACATTATTAGTACGATCCATTCACATTATGGAGACCATTTGCTGTGTGTAGTGACCACTGATTTAAATGTTCTCTCTTCTAAAGGCACCCTTACAGAAACATCCAGAATGATATCTAATGACCTAGGTAGGGACCTGGTCTGGCCAACTGACGCATAAAATCACCCATCTCAGGAAGCCAGGCTTTTCCACATTCTGCTCCTCTTACCATTTCGCTATTATTTTCTTGAGACTGTGGATAAGTGCAGTTTGAGAGAAAGCTACTCTTAGATTCTGCTTTGCTGCCTCAAGGTGGAACAGGGAACTCTTCTGCGAGGCCTGAGACATCTCTGCTTTTGAAGCCGCCACCTCCAACTTCACCTGGCCCGAAGCATGACAGAGGAGCGAGCCTCACAATACATCTGACTACAAGCTCCTTTCTCCAGCCAGTGGGTTTTTGTTAGGGGTAGGGTGGTAGGGATGGAAAGATGATGAGATGGAAGGGACTGGTTTAGCCAGATTATCTTTATTTTCAATCTGCCATACCTTATAATTAATCTTAAGAGCTGAGACAAGTGTCTCTGGTCCTGGTCTGAGCAGGCTGTCCTGGAAGGAATGGCACTCCAAGTTGTGAAAGGGGAAGAACACACTGATATTGGGTTGAATCTTAATCTTTCACTTTACTATTTCAACTATACAACTGTTACATTTTCCTCTATCAGTAAGATAGAACTACTGAGTTAAAGGGAAATAGCTCTACCAAGCCTACCATTGCCAAGTGCCTAGATCTGTAAGTTTTTAGCATTGTATAAACTTACAGAAGTTGTACTTGAGAACAGTCCTATTAAAGATAATACTTTAAAACTCCTAGGCTTTTTTTGTTTTTTGTTTCCAGTACCAGGAATCGAACCCATGACCTTGCGCTTGCCAGGCAGGCGCTGTGCCACTGAACTAAATCCCCAGCCCCACTCCTAGGCTTTTTAAAGAAAAAAATCAAAATGAGAATTGTAAGAGGTTCCAGGTAATCAATCTAATGAAACATGATTTATTCTTGTGCTTTTAAAACTGAAAAGATAGTTTGCAAAGCACATTAAATGAAACCTGACTTAATAAAAGGCCATAGATTCAATTATTTCTTCATTTATTCATTCAGCAATATATATTGAAGAGATACTGTTTAGCGATCTGTATTCATTTGGTGCCTAGCTATCACATTTGTTCACACTGGATAGGCAAGCTGTCTGCCAGCTGTAGTTCACCTCTCCTGGGACAAAGTGGGCAACTTGTTGCTTCCATTCACTGGTACCCTCCTCTTTACTACCCACCTCCATTCTAGTATGGCCTCTTCCTTCCTGGTCTCTTGAGTATCTTATATTTTGCTGTTCCAGATGCAAATGATGAACAAAATGTAGGGCAAATGTCAGTTAAATTGTCTATGTGCAGGGGGGAAGCTGTGCATTATAGTTAGAATACGGAAAAAGGAAAGTGTCATAGCATGTTGAGGCTTGGTGGGGCTATATACGACCTAACCCATTTGCCATGACAAGAGGCTTATAGGAAAAACGAGCCACCGTATCTGAAATCATGGTTATCCTAGTAAATAACATATTTTTGTAGTACTTGTTACTTCTTACTCATTGGGGAAAACAATGGAGGTGCTGAATTTCTGGAATTATTTGAATGAAGAGGGCTGTGAAGACAGTATAAAAGAGCGTAGAAGAAATCTGCAGGTGGTGAACCTTTTACAGCTTTCAATGATACAAACTGCCAGCTACAGCTTGTGTGCCATAGGTTCGCCACCACTGAAACAGTGCCCCACCCTCCAGAGACAGGTGCGGGGAACACGAAGATCATAAGGGAAGAACACATGTAGTAAAGAAACTGACCAATTAGGCACAGTTGCCTGAATCTAAGCTAACAGTTTTCCATTTTCATCGCGCTTGATTGGAGACACGGAATTACTATTAGTAAGAGACACTAAGCTGGGATACCTATGCCTAACACAGTGCATATATTTTATCTAACATTTTCCAACCTTCCCCCAAGGTAAGAATCATTCCCATTTTCCTAAGGTTAACCCTCGAAGGTACACAGCTCTCAGTAGCAACTCCTCCAGCGTTTGACTCCAGTGCGCGGTTCCCGAGAATAGTATAGCAGGATACAACGTATCTGCCAGAGGCAGCTGAGACCGAGGGGCCCTATCTAAAGGAAACTATGTTGCCGTTGAGAGCAGCACGCGTCAGGGCCCAAGTCTCTTCACATACAGCCTTGCAATGTCAAAAATGAACAGAAAAATAATTTTAAAAGAAAGTCAAAGCCTGAAGGTGAGTGAGGAATGAATTCTCCAGCGGGTTGACCATACCGTCGGAGTGGAATTTCACAGCCATGGATCGCGCCCTTGCCTTCCTCAACCTTCATTTCCTCAGAAGGTAAGGACTTGAAAGATCTCTTTGTTAAACTTTATGTGAAAAATTACTCAAATGTTTAAAAATGCCAACACTAACTTTACAATGGAAGGTTTTCAATTCCTGTAATTCTCAAGGACTAAAGGAATGCGGTGTTTTTAAGTAACAGGACAAGAAATAGAACTACAGGAAGGAGGAAAATGCAGCACCACGGATGAATATACAGCCTGGTGCTCTGCACTAATTCTATGAGCATGACTTGATTAATATTTTTAAAATATCCTGTCCTCCGTTTCCGCAGTTATTAAAATAACTAACTTTACAGCTGCGTTGCTAATAGGTTATAATGTGGTGGTCTAAGTCATAACCAGATTCTAGAGTTAATTAAAACTCTAGGTTCAAATGCAGTACTGCCGCTTGCTGGGCAGTTTTAATGAACATTCTCCTACACTACAAATGGGATTTAAAAAAAAATTTTTTTTAATGTTTTGAGATAGGGTATCGCTATGTAGTGCATGTAGGCTGGCCTTGAACTCATGGCCATCCCCCTGCCTCAACCTCCAGATTACTGGGATTACAGATGTGCACCACACCAGGCCAAATGGGATGAATTTTTGAAATAGAAATAATCCAGTTTCCACACCTCAGGGTGGTTATGAGAACCAGGCCAGGTTACAGGTAGAGTCCCAACAAACCTTAACCTAGAAGTTAAACTTTTTTCATAGGGATTAAAAGATTTTCTACTAAATCCTTCAAGGCAAGAAGTTATTTCAGTAGGTTCAGACGTTTTGGGTCTGATTTTAATGAATCACAAGAGCTCGCTCTGTGCACACGTCCTGGTAGTCGGTGACGTGCGAGCTACTCCAGATTTTGCAGAACCTTACACTGCAGGAAACCGCGTGTCCGGGCAGCACACAGCCCCAGCCGGCGGCCTCGGCCTCGGGTGTCGGCTTCCCGGGGAAGGACGGGTCGCGGACGCCCGAAGCGTCTCTCGGGAAGTGTCCCGAGCCCGGCTCGGACCGACGGGAACCCACGATCAGCCAAAACCGGACACGGTCCGACTCAGCCCCGCCGCGCGCCGGCCGTTTACATTTGAATTTCCCAGCCGGGGCGGGGAGGCGGCGCCAGCCCGCCCGGAAGCCTCCCAGTTCCCGCCACGGGCAGGCCCCGCCCTCAGAGCCCCAGCTTCGCCACTGGGGCCCACCCCGCCCCCAGTCCGGCGGCCACGCCC